AATGATGCCAGAAATCTGTTAAAGCCCATGTTTGTTATCTAGTCCAGGAAACAAAGATTGTAGAAGGAAAACTCGATGGTAGTTGGGTTTTATTTTTTTATGTATACATAAAAAAATAAAACCCAACTACCTGACTCTATAGAGTCAGGGGTGCTGATAATGAATCAAGAATATTCCCAAAAAATTTCTTTCCGCGTCCCCTAATTTCATCCCCCGAAAGGGTAGTTTTTTTTATTTTTGGCTCATAACTTTCAGAATTTAACCTCTAATACTTTTGATTATGTATTAAATAAGGCACACGTTAAACCCCATTGCGCACCTATATGATGTGCCCTTTTGCTAAGCGCAGTGTGCAAAGTTGAGCGTTGCTTTCAAAATCACTTTTTTGTTTTTTTTATTATAGCCCAATTTTAAAAGTAATCGATCCCAAACCTTAGGGTAATCAAACATAACCGAATAGACGATTTTTTGAGGTACTAGACTTTTTTCAAAAGTTACTGCTTTTCAATGTACAGGGGGTTCTTTATTCAAAAACAACATTTTTTATTTCCCAAGCGGCTTTAATGAGCCAGTTCGTTCTACCCTAGATTTTTAGGTACACTTATCCTCGTAACGAATACGTAGTTTTTTAAATTATTTTCATTGCAAGTGCCATACAAAAATTAAAGTTTAAAATTGGGCTAAAATAAAAAAAAGTGATTTTGAAAGCAACGCTCAACTTTACACACTGCGCATAGCAGAAGGGAACATCATGTAGGTGCGCAATTGGGTTTCACGTGTGCCTTATTTAGTACATAATCAAAAATATTAGATGTGAAGTTCTGAAAAAAAAGCACGGTTAGCGAGTTATGAGCCCCCTTTCGGGGGATGAAATTAGGGGACGCGGAAAGAAATTTTTGGGGAATTTTCTTGATTCATTATCAGCACCCCTGACTCTACATAAAAAAAATAAAACCCGACTACCATCGAGTTTTCCTTCTACAATCTTTGTTTCCTGGACTAATCTGTCTATATTGACATCTAAACTCTCCATTTTTCAAAGTTCATAGAAAATGTAATATACGAGGGATATTAATAATAATAATATTAATAAAAATGTCGAATAGTTTAATGCCACGATTTATATTGCAAGAATTTAATTTAAAAAGAGTTTTTTCGTTCTCCTGAAAAATTTGATCAGAGGGACATATTGGATTTTAACCATTATATACAAAATATACAAAAATTAGGAAAAATATACAATAATGTAAAATTCGTTAAAAAATCGATTAATAATAGGTAATTTCTCATTGAAAAGCTGCCAATGAAAATTATATCGTACAGAGAAGATGCGAGGTCGATCCAGTTTAACAGATTCTATCAAAAAAATCCCTTAATTTGGTTTTACAAAAATTACACAATCAACAATAATTAAGGAACGTGAAATTAACAATTTCCATTGTATCGTTTAACTTTTGTAATTAAGGTAAATTCAAACCAAATTGATTGAATTAACACTCGGTCCATCCCTTTCACAAATATTGCTCTGCTCGATAGATTTAATGCATGTAAAGATCACATTACGAACTTGGAAGAGATTTAGATTTAAAATTACCTACATATTTAAATTTATAGCGTATGTTTCGCGCTTTTTATTTCCGAGTTCTGCAAAGTCTCGGCCATGGCCGAAAATCTCCGTATTTTTTTCCGAAAAAGAGAACAAGATCTCGGCGAGATTTTTGGCTGAGAATAGGGAACGAGGCAGAGATCTTGGTCGGACATTACCACTAAATCAACATTTTTAATAGCTGCTGAACATTTTCTGAACGTTAACCCAAATTTGCTATTGTTTTTTCTGCTTGAAAAACAATTGGATCAGAACGTTTTTTTATGTATGCACTTAACTATAGTTTCGCGTGAAAATCGAACAAATTTTGGACATTTGTTTGCAAGTGATGCCAGAATTGAATATATTTTTTTTTAACCTTGTTTCTATATCTAAATCGTACATTTTTTTCAAAAAAACAAAAATTTCATTCATTGACCGCTGTGGTTTTCAGGCCTTAAGTCGATATTTTGTAATAACATTTTTATTAAAAAACGTATCGATTTGAAATTAAGAAAAAATTATTAAGTGGCAATAAATCCACGTATTATTTTTTTAGATTTTAACATACAGGGGGCGCTGGAGACAATAGAGTAATTGCATCAAAAATGAAAATCCCTAAAAACCTTTTTAATGTAATCTAGAGGTAAAAACACATTGCGAAAATATTTTTTTATATTCCAAAAGTTCAACCCGGCCCCAAAATATCAAATTGAAAAAAAGGTACTTTTCAAACGTTTCCGAACTCCGGCCATATTGCATGACGTCATAAACCTACACCAGTGTCAGAAATCAAGATGTCAACAAATAATAAACACCGATAAAGTTTAACATGTTTTACATGTTTAACATGGAAAACGCGAAAACAAAAATTGGTGGTAAATATTGTTTTGTGCCTTGTTGTACAAATACAACCTGGAAAACTCCTGGGAAAGTTGTCCCTTCAATTATCAAAAGCAAAGTTTATAACCTTACACTAAGAGCCGTTACGGCTCAGCCGTATTTTCTTGAGTTTATTATTATTTAACATACCTATTCCAACCATATACCTACCTAGGTAAACGACATTATATTTTACTTACATTAAAATGACCCTCGCAGCAATAAAATGTTGACTGCGGTGACGATGGTTTGATATCGCGCCGAGCTATTTTAATCCACTTTATCCTTATTTTCCCTTTTGGCACGGTGATAAACCTTTTCCCAGGAGTTTTCCAGGTTGTTTTTGTACAACAAGGCACAAAACAATATTTACAACCAATTTTTGTTTTCGCGTTTTCCATGTTAAACATAAACTTTATCGGTGTTTATTATTTGTTGACATCTTGATTTCTGACACTGGTGTAGGTTTATGACGTCATGCAATGTGGCGGGAGTTCGGGAACGTTTGAAAAGTTCCCTTTTTTTCAATTTGATATTTTAGGGCCGGGTTGAACTTTTGGAATATAAAAAAATATGTTCGCAATGTGTTTTTACCTCTAGATTACATTAAAAAGGTTTTTAGGGATTTTCATTTTTGATGCAATTACTCTATTTAATTTAAAATTTTATCATTTTTTAAGGGTTAAAAAGTCGAAGAAGCAACGGTGTTTTATAATTTTGAGTATATTACGTTAAAGTACTGACAATTAACTATTATTTGATATAAATTTCTACATGCAAATTATGTTCCTACGAGATACCCCATTATTAAGCCTTCAAAGAACATAATACTAATTATATATTCTTTTATCTAGTTTTATAAGATAATGTATTATACTCTCTTAAATTGAATTACTCAAAAGTGACTAATTTAATAGTGGCTGCTTTTTCACTTGTACCATGGTTAACCATGGAATACCATGGTATCCCAAAATCTAACAGCCAATTCTTATGTAAAATTATCCCCTGAATCCGAAAATGTCGTCAAAAGTTAAAAAAGTAAAACAGTTTTTGAGATATAGTTAATTTTCCATTTAATATGGAACGTAGTTAATTTCTTTCTTGGCATACGTTTAACGTTGTGTCTAGAGTCCCGAGGCGGGACTTAAGTTCGATCCCGACTGACGTAATAATTTCGCTTCACACACTGTAAATCGGTATTAAGCTTAATTTTCATGTATCCGTTTGTCCGATAGTCCGATCATCCGGGAGCGCTCTTATTAGTCCAATTGTAAATCGAAAATTATGACATTTCATCGGTCCGTCAAGTTTCAACTTCGTACGTCTGACGGAGAAAGTTAATAGTTATTTACGATATAAGTATAGACTCTATAGAGCTTTATTAACGTACACATGCGAAATCGCAAAAGTACGTTAATAAAGCGTTATCACACGTATATTGTACAAATTTTTATCTACGCCTCTAAATGAAAAAATAAACGGTAATTATTTTTGTCTAAGACTTAATTTAGGGTTATTTTGACATTTTGACTTTTTTATTTGATTGGTTAAAAGCAGAGAAAAACGCGTGCGTTAATGAACTTCTTATCTCACTCAAAATGAGTGGGATAAGAAGTTCTTATCTCACTGGCGTAGATAAAATAATTTTAACTCATCCGTCACTACACATAGGTTTTTGACGCCAAACGTTATTTTAAGATAATTTATTTTCAAATCTTTTAATATTTTTTTAATTGTGATTGTAAAACGGAGTAATTACGTTCGTTATGTTCTACTGATATGTCTTAATTTAAAAAGAAAAATGGAAAAAAAGATAAAAAACAAAAAAAATCAAAACTATACATTTTAATGTAAATTAAGGCTAGTATAGTAAATTCTTTTTATATGGTATATTTACCTACCTTTAAATTTATTAGACAGATAACTGTTAAAGTTACAATTGTTGACATAATTGTAACTATGACAATTAACTGAATATACTGGCCCTTAATTTCTATTTGTCGCCAAACCAATCCCTCAAACGTCATTAAAAAACAGATGAATGAAAACTAGAACATTTCTTGTTGGACGATTTTTTTGAAAAACGTACAAACGGATAACGGACAAACGGATACAGGAAAATTTAGCTTTATTCCCATAGCTTTATAAAATTGATATTAAGCTGGGGAGCTCAGAGGGTAGGGCAATAAAATCTATTAATATTAAATTTAAAATTTATATTTTAGATTATAATAATTTGTTTACTCTTTTTTATCATTATTTTGCTACGGTAATATTTATTTAAATGAATATTCCTCTGTTAAAAAGAGTTGGGTTGGGTTGGTTAGTTTTAGTTTTATTGTAACAATTACATGAAATCGTAAAATTATGACGTCAGTCGGAATCGAACTTAGGTCCCGCATCGAGACTGTAGACACTGCTTACATTTAATTCTAGAACATTTGCCATATAGGTAAAAATTGACATACAATTTTTAAAAAATCTTAATTTAAAGCCATTTTAGGATACTTAAATAAAATACGAATTCCTCCAGGTTAAAAAAGAAGAAAGGCTCGTTCTTTCAATCGATCACGTCGCTGCAAAAGAACAGCGCAAAGTTTTCGACGAAGCGCGAAATGCTGGAAGAAAAGTCGACGGGCGCCCGCAACGATTACCTTTTGTGCCTGGCGGCGGCAAACGCGCACCAGACGCGCTACTTCGTCGTCGACCTGCAGCTCTGCATGAACCTCATGGAGAGCGGCGTCTACGACAAAGTGGCCGAATATTTAACCTTAATGGGACGCACTGAACTGCTCACCTGCTCCGCCATGCAGAACTCATTTACAATCATCAGGGATCAGGCCAAAAAATTGACCAGGGAGTACAATCTGCAGTGCTGCTATCTGTATTATCCCGTGCTCAAGCAGCATATACAGTACGAATTCGAGCCCTGCGATAATGATAATATCGATAAGGTCACTGCTGAGCACGATTCGGCCGCAGCTACGTTAAGCAAGGAGGCCAGGAGATGGGCTACTAAGATCGCGAGAGAAAATAACACTGTCAAGGAGAGCGTAAGGAAGCTGCAGATTTACAATGCTCTTAGGGAGTCGGGGCAAAAGGTAAGTTTAATGGAAATTTCGCCTTTATAATTTAAAAGCTTATTTAACTATCAAATATTTGAAACTATTATTCACAGATCCAAATTTTTGATGATGCTTAATGTAAACCCAGAAATTACTACCATGTACTTAGCTTTTTCAAAGTTCTTTATGTAATACTTAATAATTAAAACTAAGCCTAATATTAGGGGAAGGTGCCCATATTTCGAATACCATTTTATTTTTAATGTGTAAGTGTTAAAAAATAAGGAAGGTAATTTATTTTTTACTCAAATTAAATGTTAAATTAAAAGTATGATATACGACATAATTATGCCTTAAAGCCCAAATGAAAACCAAGTTATGGCAATAATTTGAATTTTTTTTATTTTGTAAATGCTTGAGGCGACAATACAGAAAGGCAAAAGCAGGGCCGTATTATCCATAGGGCACTATGCCCTGGATATATTACAGTGCCCAGGGCACCTGTATCGTAGTGACGTCTAACTGTTAAACTAGTCCTTTTTTGAATTCCATAAAACTACTATGTGTGGGACCTACGTTAAACAGTACCTAGCGGCCCTGGGCAAACTGTTGTTAGCAGCGCCATTTAGTGTATATAGGTTACAAATTAAGACGCTTTCCGATATCATATTTAATATTCTTACTAGGGTGCTTCAAAACAAAAATGTAATTGTTTTTTTTTTCGCTCTTACCCTCTCAAATGTTTCTATTTAATATAAAAAAAATCCTCACCAAATATGGGCGTTCCAGCTCAACTCTAAGAGGTCGCTGTTTTTATTTTAGTTTCCCATTTAATTAACATGGGAAAAATAATTTTATGTTTAGAATTTTATACCCCTGTATCAAAGTTACTTATGGCAATGATCATTGCAGTTTATTATATAAAATATTACGCTCTACAAAAAAGGTATCCTATTATTTTTCGATAAATTTATTTTTTATAGAGTTATTTTAGGTCAAAGATCTCAGAATAATTATTTTCGATTAAAGTCGTGAACATGTGAGTCAATATATTTTCAAATGATTTAGAAACCGAAAAAAACAATTAAAAAAAAGTAGTTTTTTGGTTACCCCATTTCCCCCCCCCCACCCCGCTGCCTTGTTTTGCCCCCTTTCACCTCCCGTCTGCTAATTGTACCATAAAATTAAAAAAAAAACAGAAAATTTGATGTTAATCAAACTTTGACCTCGAATAACTCTATAAGAAATCAATTTATCGAAAAATAATGAGATACCTTTTTTGTAGAGCGTTACATTTTTTATGGGAAACTGCAATGATCATTGCCATAAGTTACTTTGATACAGAGGTATAAAATTACAAACATAAAATTATTTTTTCCCATGTTAATTAAATGGGAAACCAAAATAAAAACAGCGACCTCTTAGAGTTGAGCTGGAACGCCCATATTTGGTGAGGATTTTTTTTTATATTAAATAGAAACATTTGAGAGGGTAAGAGCGAAAAAAAACAATTAAACATTTTTTTTGAAGCACCCTAATACTTACCAATACTTTTTTACCAGTCATTCATAAAAATGTACAATTATCAATATCGTACGTCTTAAAATTTTTATTGACAGTAAAAATTCCCTATAAAACGAGTCGTAAAACGAATCTTAAAATTTTTACAGCCATACAATATCAAACATATTATCCGTTTTATATGTACACCCGTAAACTTTATATAAAATATAAAATTAATCCAAATGAATTTGTATTTTAATGTCGAACGTCTAAAATATATTTTGGGACGTAAATTAGTATATTGTTTAACGAGCGTGGAATTATAGCAATTACTATGATTCCACGCTCGGTAAACAATATACTAATTCCGTTTTTATATATTTTATTTATCTTATTAACTTTGTACTCGTTAGTTCACTTCAAAAGTATTCAAAGAGTAAAAAGTTACATAAAGTCTTAAGGGAATCTATCACGGATTAGTTTTTTAAATTGAATATAAAGTTTAATTTATTACCATCTTAAAAACTTTTAAAACGATAGATATAAAACGTTATTTTAACATTAAACAGAGTTTTGAAATTGCCCTTTATTAAAGTGCGTATAATTAGAAACACTCCATGTGAAAAACAAGCAACATGTGTCTACTCTTCAAGTTAATTAGTTTATTTATTCCTTTAACATTTGAAAATGGGTTATTAAAATCTTTCCAAGATAATTAACAGTTTGACTTTATAACGGGATTCCATTAACGAAGCTCTTAGTTAAAGCGTTAATGGTTAAAACAAGAGCTACAGGGAGATGAAAAAGCCCCTTTAATATTTTAAATGGGACATAACAACTAGGAGTATTATTTTTGTAATAAGGAATAATGGGATTTATTTTTTCCAGGTTTAAGTAAAAGTTTGGGAGTTTTGTTAAGTCTCAAATATTCGTATCATGTGGTTTTATATAATATCAAACCACCTAATAAAAACCATGTTATTTAGGTAGAACTCAATGCTATCTGTAAAATGTAAATTTGACATACCTATACAATAAGTTTATTTTATGCGTTTTTTGTTTATATATTATACCAACTCTCCAAACACAAAAAAATATACAGCGACGAAATTTTGTATCTTCAATGATGTACAACTTCATATCAAAACCTTTAAACTGTTTTGAAAGAAAGCTATGTTAAAATTCAATTTTAAAAAGTGAATAATCTTTGGCGGCCACACAACTATCTTTAATTTCAAGGTGGATCCGAGCGACCAGAATGGTCCAGATCTGGAAACGAAGATCGAAGACATGAAGCAGGCGATCCGCCGGGCGGAAACCAACAAGGCCAAGGCGGAAGCCAGAATCGAGTGTCTACGAGCCGGCGGAGTCAACGTCGACGAATGGCTGCAAGAGGCTGAAACCCTTAACGTTCAGGACATACAGAGATCGGCCAGCTCTTTATCGGTGAGGACTGACGCATCCGGCATTGCGGTGAGGGTGAACAAAAAGGATCGTTGTGTTTTTTATCTCTTTCTATCCCTTCGTTTGTTATTTTTTTTTCAAACTGCTGTATTTCAAATGTACACCCTCTTCTATCTACATGTACAGGGTCGGTTGGTGGCCCTGGGCTAAAAATCTTTGTGGGCCTATCAATAATTATATATCAATAATTATATAATTATGTAGGTACAGACAACAAAACAACAAATTATTACGTCAAAAATTAAAAAACAAGAAAAAAATTACACTTATTCTTGATAAAATTAATGAATAACATAAATAAACCTTCCTAGCATTTATACAAGGTGTCAAGATAAGACCTGTACCATGCAAGGCCACATATTTCTTGGTTTAAAATATTTCGACTTAACCCAACTCACCCAAATAAAAATTGCTGTGTTTAGCTGCTAGCGGCATTTATAATATGCAAAAAAGATTATTTTATACTGCATTATATAAATCGACAATTTTTTTTCTATAAAATTTAATAGCCTGTTAAAATATCAGCCATTATTTGTTGTCATTTGCGATTTTACATTTAAAGTAAGTAGGGTACATGGAACATGAGGTACATGAGATTTTTTTATTTTAGAGTAATTTAACTCGTTAACGGATTAATGGATTTTATGATAAATCTCGTTAAAAAAATATTTAAGACAAATTCATAGCAAATTTTATGTTTTTCTTACTTTCCCGGAAAAAAACCATCATACTTGTCACAAAATGTTGACAATGATCATAAATTTTTTGTAGATCATTTTATTTTCCATATAAATATGTCATTATTTTTTTAATGGTTTAACCAGTATAAATACAAATATTTTTTGCAATAAAATTGATATTTTTTTTAAATTAATTAGTATTTAAACAGAAATATTAATTTGGTTTAAAATAAAAAATTACACAATTTTTTTAAAATAAAATGATCTAACAAAGTCCTATATCGTTTTGTTCTAAGTCTGATAGTTTTAGCGGAGAAGTAAGAAAAACTTTAAATTTATCATAAATGTAATTTTAAGATTAAATAATTTGAATAGGTAGATTTATTAAAAATAATAAGAGGCCTTTTTATTGAGCGTTTACTTTAAATAATCTATAAGAATAATATTTTTAAAATATGTTGTTTTCAATTAAGTTCATTAATTCGATAAAAAGATATATAATTCCAAAGTTAATTTTTTTCCATGCTATTTAAATCAAAAATAGAAAATCGCGATGACGGGCCTCTTAATAGTTTTATTAAGATCTTAAATTTTAACTGGCTCAATATTTTACCTTTATGCAACTACTACATAGTCGATTTTTTAATCTGTCTGATTTTTATATTTTTAATTTACATCGCGTTGGGGGCCCTCGATCGGACGGGGACCTGGGCTGCAGCCCATAATGCCCATGCCTAAATCAGCCCATGTACATGTAGATATATAACTTTATATTATGATATATTAAAATTTTTAATGCATTTAATAAGGTAAAAAATGGCTTTCTCTTTCAGTAAGAAAAGTCTGATAATTTTTTAATTTCTCAATTTCTTTATTTTTAATTTTTTCATAAGCATGATGATGAACAAAAAATATTATTGCTTAGGTTTTCTTTTTTGTATTCTATTAATTTAAGGTTTTTTATTCTCCCCTTTCGTTTAACGCCAATATTTCACATATTTGAATGTCTTGTTTTTTTATTTTCTTGTTCTTTTTTATCTTTGTCTTTATAAGCAACCTTCTCATTTTTTCTTCGCCATTTCCACATTCTTCCTTTTCTTTGTCTTCTTCTTTCTTTTTCAGATGTTTTTGGATGATCGATGTCTGCTTGTTTACCTTTACCAAAATCCCTCATTACATATTGTTTATATTTAAGCATGTTTCTCAAAATAATTTTCCAGGATCATCCGAGTTCGGACTCGTTTTACGACAGCGATTTTGCCGATGGAGAAGTCACGGCCGCGCAGACGGACAAAACGTCCGAAAAGGATTACGAAGAGGCGCAGCCCGAGTATTTCGAAACCGCCGAGGTCGACGGTGAGTGGGGTACGCAACGGACTCATTCTACACACTGTGTTTGGCATGATATCGTTGCACAAAATATACCTAAGTAAACATTACATTTTAATCTAGACTGCCAGGTTAAGAACATTTTGTCAGTCATGTTGAATTATATTTTTTTTGTTAAGAAGATTTGGTTTAATTTAATATGGAATATTTTTTATTCAAACCAGTAATTTAAAAAAATACTAAAGTACTTTAAAATTAAAAAACTAAAAGGTTCAATAAACTTGTCCAGTCAACTTGAATAACTTTAAAAGTTGACAAAAAAATAACAAAATTACTTTTACATCACTATATTCAATGGTCATAAAATTTCTCTAGAATAAGATGTTTCCGTTTGGCAGAAAAGATTTTAAACAACTTAAGAACTATCTAAATTGATATTTTATTACTTGGAAACCAACTCTCTAAAAATGAATGAGTCAAAAATGACTAATTTTCATAGCGAAAAAGCAGCCACTAATAATCCTTGTCAATAGCAATTTGTATCGAACATTTAGCAGTCAATTTCCATGTAAAATTGTCCCCTGAATCCGAAAATCTCGTGAAAAGTTAAAAAAGTAGAACAGTTTTTGAGATATAGTCAATTTTCCATTTAATATGGAATTAACTATATCTCAAAAACTGCTTTAATTTTGACGGTATTTTCGGATTCAGGGGACAATTTTACATAAGAATTGGCTGTTAAATTTTGGAATATCATGGTATCCCATGTACCTACAAGAGAAAAAGCAGCCACTAATAACTGTAGTACCCAATTAGACATTTTTGACTAATTCATTTTTAGAGAGAATATACTGACAACCTATAAACATCCTGGTGCAAAGATTAATAAAATATAGACGATTATTTGGCATAGTTTTTATTGATCTTGTGTAAAATTGGTTTTGTGATTAAATTTAAATAACCTATAAATAAGACAACATCGCTAATATAAAGGCTTTTCCTCAAACACTAAATGGGCTTTATATTTAAATTATAATTGTGCTTAAGTTCATGTTACAAATTATTCATATAAACAAACTATTAAACAAAAAAATACTTACTACGTCATTTTTAATTTGGTAGGTAGTAAGTTCATTTTTTGTTGCTTAGTTTATACTACATTTGCTTCAATTTCAAAGTTATCGTCACAATGTCTGAAATCACCGGCAATAATAATAATAATAATAACCATAATGTATACGTTATTAAATATTAAACCTATAGCGGTGTTGGAGCAAGAAAGACAAAGGATAGAGCAATTAACAGCTGGATGGGACGACCCCACTCAGGTTGATTGGGGCGCTGAGGCGATCAGGAACGGTTCAGAAATTATGGAAGATGCCCAATCAGAACCAAGTGGTCCACTTCTTAAATGCACGGCATTGTATTCCTATACGGTAAGAAGAAACATTGAACTCCTTTTTTATTTGTTATAGTAACCATTATTGATTCGACGCTTTCAATCGGTAATCAAGATATATTAATAAAGCGGTGCTTGATGGAGCAGCAAATATCCCTTTTATATTCACTGCAGGTTTTGCGAAATGCAATTTAAAAGCCGTTTTAATCAATTCCGTCTGTTCAGTGCACTAGGCCACAATAATCTTTTAAATGCTTTCCGTAAATCCGTTAAAATGGTAAATGTATTCAACTCTTATAAAGGTCTAATGCATCTTATGCAAATATCATTAATAATGAATGAATGAAATAATGTCAAAATCCTTGGTCAAAATTTGCCGTTCTGCCCTGCTAAGCTGAACTGCCATATCTACAATATAAAGTAATAAAGAACCAATTTTTTTAGTGTTTTTAACAATTAAAATGATCTTTTGTACTTTATTACTTAATATTGTAGACACGGCAGTCTTGCTTAGTAGGGCATGATTGATTAATATAAAAATTAAGTATTGTTACATTATATTATGTATAATCAGATCAGAATCTTTTTAAAATTACTCATTTTTTACAAATTCGTTCAAAAATGTTTCTTTTTCGATTTTGTTTAGTTTGATTATTGAAAAAGACGACACTTTTATATAGGAAACTGATCTTAACTAATTTTTGCCAAAAATCGAAATACAATGTTCTTATTTGCGAACGTCGATAATTATTATTATTATAATTTGTAAAAGCTCTCTTTTATCCTATGATCTAACAAGCGCCGAAAAAACTTTCTAGCGAGTTGAGAACAACAAAAGTATAATTTTTTGAGGTATGTGTCAACAAAATAATGTCTTATCTACTACGAAAAGTCGTAGTTTTCAATGTGGTCGTCAGAATTATTATTTTTCTACAAGCGTGCGGAAACTTGCTACCCAACCCAATGTTCCAAACTGAATTCATTTAATAACCGAAATTTAAATATCTCCACTTCACGAAAAAAAATTAGACTTTATACTAAAGTGTTATATATCTAAACCGTTGTCAATGGATCCTTTGTTTTGTAGGTTTTTTATCTGCAAAACACTTACATTTTAGTTACTTAGATTAAAGATGGAAAATGCTCAAGTACTTATTTTTGGAGAACGCGAATTGAGCACAAACGATAATAAACGAGAAATTCCCAAAAGTGTATTAACAGCATGCCAGAAAGGCCTAATTGAACGTGTTTTTTCAATGTTGCTTTTTTTCTTGTTTATTCACAATATTCTTGAAAATATTCTGATTTTTCTTAATATTCTCGCGAAGATTCTTAATTTCCCCAATGTTTTCGAGATGACTACAAGTTTTCTCAATATTTTTACAGGTTTTAAACAATTTTTTTTACTTAAAAAACTCTTTTATATTAAACGGTTTACACCTAATTAGTGGATTTCAGACCCCCCGTCCTCCATGTTACGCATAATAAATAGCATTACTATACCACATGATGTCATAAAGTCTTGACCCCCTTACTCCTAAAAGTGTGGCGTACTTTAAGAAGACCCCTAAGTTATAAAAAAAGGAACAAAAATATGTCTTCTTTAACCACATTTAATTCTCCCGAAACGAGTATTTGCCTAGAATGTTCAAGCATTTATAGAGATAGTTCTCGATTGAGCTCAAAAATGCTCGGCTGAAAAAGTGCCCGCAAATTAATTTAAAACTTTGCGAAGCTTCGCGAACGTTCTCCCAGCACAATCGAGAACGTTTCCTCATTTAGAACACTAGCCATGCCACATGTGATTTTCGCGAAACGGGTTGCAATTTTTCCACTTTGATCGCGTTTTACCTTTTAGCGATCAAGCATTTCTTTCATTTTTTCCGAGAATTGTCGAGCATATTCAAGGAAAAGTTCTCGATAGTGCTCCAAAATGCTTGGCCGAGAAAATGCGCGCAATCGATGGGTCAACCACCCAAAGGGAAAACGTCCAGGGATTCCCATGTATTCCCATTATATTTTATTGTATTCCTATGTATTCCTATGGTATTCCCCCTCTAAAATGTCCAGGGATTCCCAGGTGTGGGTGACCCCTCGCGCGCAATTTCGTATGAATGATCATTTAAAGCTTCGCGAACGTTCTCTGAGCACAATCGAGAACATTTCCTCCTAAACAACACTAACTAAGATATTTGTGGATTATTAGGCACAAAATCCGGACGAGCTGACGATCGTGGAAAACGAGCAGCTGGAGGTGGTCGGCGAGGGAGACGGCGACGGTTGGCTGCGGGCTCGCAACTACAAAGGCGAAGAGGGCTACGTGCCGCACAATTACTTGGACATCGAGCGCGAACAATCAGTCACCACTCCCGGCCTCCAAAACCAGATATCGTTCTCCTCAGTAGACTATACGATAGACAACGAAGAGGAGGCGACCCAGCAATCGGAGACCAACCAGTCTCCCGAACAAATTTCCGTAATTTCTCTGCCGATACAAACGAAATCCGACGACGAAATAGGCGCTGAATACTGCTGCGCTCTATACGATTACGATGGCGAGGGCGACGAAGAGCTCACGTTCGAAGAGGGACAGATCATTAGAATTCTCAATAGGTGCGCTCACAGCGTGGACGATGGCTGGTGGCAAGGTAGGTACAAGTTTATAAAAACTGATAAAAGTTTAAAAAGTGACAATGTTTGTTTACAATTATGTTAGCAAATCCATCTCGTATAAGTAAAGCCCTATCAGAGAAAATCAATGAAAACGTTTTTCTCTTGAAAAAGTATTACAATTCATATTTTATTTATTTACCTCACTTGCAGAAACTAATAAATATCTTTTTCATTTCGCAAGTATTTGCCCTTGATAATTAAATGCGTTTGTTCATAAATAGTAAAGGGTGTTCAGTAATTTTTGACAAATTATTATAAAAAGAATTACACCAGAAAAAGGCTTTCTTGTATCTTTTAAGACCTAGTTTGGAAATCGGTCTCTAACGCATATATGATCACATGATTTTTATGGTCCACATAATGGACCAACTAAGCTTGCTATTGGTAGTGTGATGATGATGTAAAGCTATATCCACAAAAGTGCTCTGTTTGCCGGTGCTTACTGGGTTATCTTTGTTTAGGGGAGCTGGAGGGAAGAGTGGGAAACTTCCCCTCGCTCGTGGTGGAAGAATGCGACGAGTACGGCGAACCGCTGGGTAACGACGAAGACGAGTCGCCGCCCCCGTCCGCACCGCCCGTCATCACGCCGCCCGATTTGCCGGATTTTCTGGTAGCGCCGGCTGAGGTAATCGTGACGGGCGCCACCCCTGTAGGCGATAACCCTCAACAGCCGGCGACCGGCTCCCAAGAAGCTAAAAGGGTGGTCAAAGGAGACGATGCCGGTTTCGCAATGGCTCTCACCGGAGACCAACGGAAGCAATACGGAGAACAGTTCGGCGATGATGGACAAATGATTCCCAGTAAGTTATTTCACAATTTACCCAGTTTTGTCATAATATCGGTACTAGGGGATTTAAAAAATCTACCTTTTTTTTACTTATGATATCGAAAAATTGATTGCTGGGTACCTACCTTAGAAAAGCCTATCTACGTACTATAGTAAAATTATCCTCATTGCAATATTTAATTTTCATATTAGTCCGATATTAACATTTTGTGTCTCGTAAATATAATAAATAAGTAAGAATATATAAAGGCAATCCCAATAATTATTTTAATAGGGAATTAAATGCTTTACAAAAAAGGTTTTTTCGTAAACCTATCCATTAGGGTGGTGTGAAAATACATGATGTTAACCATTTAATATGCCTATATTAGCTGATAAAAATGCATGATGGTAAAAATGTAATACGCCTATATTCGGAAAAGTGGTGAACTATTATCAAAATTATCGAAAAAAAAAGAGATTTTGATCGGGCAATGTTTGGAGGGTTCGCCCCCTCTTAAAAGTGCAGATTTTATCTCCTGAACTTTAAAAAGGTGGCGAAACCTCAAAAAATTGGGTGATCAATATATTTTTTTTTTCGTTAGTTGTGGTTATAGGACAACACTTTCTCCAATATAGGCATATTAAACTTTTACCATCAAGTGTTTTGCTCAGCCAATATTATATTTATTACCATCATGTATCACTCCACCCTACTATTTAAAATATATCTTAGGTCAAAGTTTGAAAAGTTTTGAAATTTATAATTATAACAAAATAGTTAAAATTTTTGTTGTAAATTAACTGATCTACAAAAAAGTTTTCATTTTTAATTGATAAATTTATAAATATAAATATATGACCAATAAATGTTTTAAATGTCTATCATTCAAGAGGCTCGGATGTTTATTTTTTAAATGAATTTCTTGAAATAAAATTTGAAAATAAATTGTGAAATAGTTAAAAGCTTATTTTTTTCAAAACAAATTTGACCTAAGATATCATTTGAATGGATAGATTTACGAAAAAACATAGGATTAAAGATTAAAATGTTTGGGCTTAGCTTTATATTTCTTTGTTAGTGAGATACAAAATGTTTTTTATCGGACCTATCTTACTCTTAATAGTAAGAGCTCATACGTAGATATATCGAAAAATTGGTTGCTGGGCACTTCAAAAGAAGCCTATAGGCAACCAATTTTTCGATATAGATAAAGAATAGTAGATTTTTTTGAATCACCTATAGGTACCTATAATATTGTCTTGTTCTTAGACAAAGTATTGGATTAGTCTATTACTACTAAGTAATACCGGATTACTAATACAATTGGATATGCTATAGCATACTATAGCAATCAGCCAATCAGGCTTTATTTCCATTTTTTTTAAAGGCCAGTTTGTGCTCTAATTTGCTCGAACTCTCCTAGCTGATGACTAATAAACTATAATTTTTTCAACCTTAAGTTTTAAAGATGCTTCGGTAAAGCCACTTCTGATTGTTTATTTGGTGTGAACTATTTATACAAAATATGTACAATTTTGTTAAGAACAAAATAACAGTAAAATGGGGCCAATTAAAAACTAAATCATGTTATAATAATGTTAACCTGTGTTTTCTTCTTTTTAACGCTGCCTATAGCAATTGATATACCTAACGTAGAAATAATGGATGAGGTAAGAAACACAATAAACAACAACTTATTATTGATGTTTTTTTATAAATAAGCTTTCTAACGTAACTTTTAATAATTATTATCAGGATGGCCAATCAATTTCTCAGGAAGAAGGTGGGAAATCTGAAGACGACTTTGGTCTCGGCGTTGCTCAGATAGTAATAACGGCGGCGACTCCCATGATGGAGGAACCGGAAACTCCCTTCCCTCCGCCCGAACATCCACCTGTGAACCACACTGGCGAGAGGAGGGAAAAGGACGACACCATCATGGAGGAGCCAGAGGAGGAAATTAATGAGTCCGAATCGAAATTGGACAATACTGAAGAGACGGATGAACCGATGGACGAACATCCGGGAGACAGTGCACCGTTTGTAGTAAGCAGCAGTACAGGTAAGGCAATAAAGACCGATAAAGTACCGAAAATGTATAATTAAAACACGTAGCAGGGTTCGAAAAAAACATGATTTAAAAAAAATCAATGATTTTCATTAAAAAAATTAAAAAAATCAACAAAAAATGATTTTATCCGAAAACGGCAGTAAAGTAGTCAACAATCGGCAGTAAAGTAAAAGAAATTGGCAGTAAAGTATAACTTTACTGCCGATTTATACGAGTATTGTATGCAACCAATTATACATTTTAAGATGTGTCTACTGCTCCTCAGCAGCAACTAACCTTTCATAAAATGTTGTTTAAAAAAATATTAAGTTAATTCAAATGGCATTTGATTTGATCATCGATATTAATTATTAGTATTATTACATGCGATTTCGGATAAAAGTAAATATGCACCTCGGCATTTTTTATAAAAAAAAATACGACTTTACTGCCTTGATACATAAATAACTATTTTTTATTTTTTTTATTCTAAGCTTCTTTTAATAAAGTGTACCTACTATTAAAAAAAATACTAAAAATAACTTGACTATAATAATATTATATTGACACTACTTTATAAACACATAAACCACCGTCCGCAACTGTCATATATTTTTTTGTATTTTCCCTTATTATTTTATTTAACAAAATAAGCAGTTTTTCTATGCATATGAATTTATTTAAATGGGGTGATGATGTTATTGTGCTTTATTTAGTTTTAGATCTTTTAAGTTTTTTTTAGATTTTATAAACTTTTTTTAACACTGATTTAAATCATTGATTAAAATTTAAAAAAATCACTTGATTTAAATCGTGATTTAAATCAAATGAATCAAAGTTTGTTTTTGTTATTTTGGTACAATTTTCATAACTATCTGGTAACAATATTTATATAGCATTATAAAAGCATTTGGCTATAACAAAAAAGACCATGTAAAGAAATAAACAAAATCGTAAGTGAAAAGTCTAATTATCTGAAAAAAAAACCCGCCCACCAAATAGGCAACCATTCAACCAACATTGCTCTACAGGCACCTAATTCACCAGATATGACATAAAGCGACTTTTACATGTTCCTCAAGCAGAAAATGGCAACCCGTGGAACGCGTTTTGAGACTTAGAAGGTCGTAAAAGATATAGGATCTTCAAAATATCAAAAGTTGCTCGAAGAGATAGGGTTTGAAGCTTAACCTCTCAAAGTGTATAGTACTAAGGATTGCCATTCCTGGATTGGTCCACAACTAATAATGAATATAATCTCAATAATTCTACCTTGGAATTATTAAATAAACAAAACAATCTAGAAGTTCCTTATTAGGTACATCAAAATTAAAGTAAAAAAAAATCTGCAAAATTCGTTTATTTATTTAATTAATCAAGCTTACTTTTGTATTTCTCTTAAGATATTAATGTAAGAGATTTGACTTATATGACCTTTTTTGTGAAAAATTAAATTTCCTACTAATAAATGTACTTACACTTTTTCTTAAGTAATCGTTTAAAAGTTTGCTAAAATTTTAAATTATACAGGGTAAAACGTAATAAAATTTAAGGATCAATAGGGACTTTCTCCAGGAAACTTATTTCAGAAATAATAGATAGAAAGATAGCCATGCTAACATCTTCAAACAAAAGTATCAATAGATAAATTTATGTTTATATATAAAATAAACTTGCCTAAAATAGTTTTATTAATTGTTTATTTTTGATGAAATTAGTTATTTACCCATTCTGAAGTATGCTGCGTACAGTGGCGTATACGCCACTATAGTACCTCCCAAATATATTTTATTTTTCGTTGCAAATATTTAAAAAATAAATAAATAAACTTGTCTAAAATGTCTAATTAATTGTTCGTTTTTTGATGAAATTTGGTATGTAGCCATAGGCATGTGTCGGGTGACATTGAAAACAATTTTTACAGCTTACATACAGTTTTTTATTCTCTATCTTTTGAGCCTTTGTTTTAAATTCGAGTTACAAATACAAAAGCTATATATGGGGGTGTTTCCATCTTAAATGGGCCACACTGTAAATAGAATTCAAAAGTAGAAGCAATTATCAAAACAATTAAGGGAGTACAAAATAGAGGTAGGAGAGTGAAAGCATCGCCCATTATCTACGCCCATGAAAAATGTTATTGTAGCGCGTAATATGTGTTTAATAGACTTTATGTGAAAATTGGTTAAAATTTGAACAAAATCGGTTAAGCGGTTTAAAAATTATTAATTTCCAACTTTCTGAAGAAAGTCCCTTCATTTTTGATTCTTGGATCCTTAAATGTAATGACGTTTAACTTGGACCAACCTGTATTTTATTACTAAATTAAATTTGTTTTCTTTGCGAAAAAGGGGCCAAGTTTGAAAGAAAAACACATGTTTACATAAAATGAAATAAAGACAATTTGAAAGAAAAACGAAAATAAAACTTGAAAAAACGAATGTTTTGCGAAAATTGCCATTATCTATCTTTTTCTGCTACTACTTTTTTCTAGAGAAAGTGTAAAAATGACATCCACTTTGTACAAAACCTACCTAAAAATTGCATTGAAGTAACATCATATGCCTTATCCAGAGAGACTAATGAAATTTAATTTGACATTGAAGACAGAGGCAATTTAATTAAGACTTTTAAAATTACTAACGGAAACAAAAGATATCTTCCGGAAACTACCAATATGATGTAACAAATATTTACCATTCGAGTCAAAATCTTCATATGTGAACACTCAATGAAGCTTGAAAAAGAACGATCCGCCAAACTTTTCGGAAAAACTTCATTAACGTATCATCATGCATCCTAAGAATTCGTTGCCACAAGAAACTGCTTTTTAAACCTATAGGTTTAAAAAGCAGTCTCTTTCACATATGGGGCAAAATTTGCCAAGTGTACCAGGTGAAAAAATTTTTGTCACCGATTTTGTTTAAACTTTACTTATTTGTTGTTCTTATAACGAAGAATCATAGAATAAAATTTTTTTGCTCTAGGATTGTTCATTCAAGAGTTATGGATTATTGAAATTTATCGATTTTTTACTTTTTGGTGAAATCGCTTTTTATTTAAAAACTCATAACTTCTGTTCATCTCTTTATTAAATATTTCAATTTAACCACCTTAAATGATTTTTTCCGTACTTTTCAATGGGCTATACCGTTTTTGCAAAAAAATAAAAATTGCAATTTTTTTTTGAAATTTTGCAAAATTTTGCATTTTTTGAAACAATGTGTATTTTTTAATTTTTTTTTAAATAGCATAAAATCCAAGTTTATTATGTTACCTTTGAATAAAAAAAAAATTTAGAGTGGGCCCGACATGTAGAAGGGAAGTTTTTCATATTTGAATGCCGCACGGTCTAGCCATCGAATAGCTACTACACTGCCGTATGCGTTTATACCTAGTAGATGCGAGTAAACGAATACAAAATGATAATTTAAAATGTAAAATTATGTTTGAGTAGTCAATGATGTATTTTAAATATTTACACTGCCGCACGATATGTCGGGCCCACTCTAAATTTTTTTTTTTATTCAAAGGTAACATAATAAACTTGGATTTTATGCTATTTTAAAAAAAATTAAAAAATACACATTGTTTCAAAAAATGCAAAATTTTGCAAAATTTCCAAAAAAAATTGCAATTTTGTTTTTTTGCAAAAACGGTATAGCCCATTGAAAAGTACGGAAAAAATCATTTAAGGTGGTTAAATTGAAATATTTAACAAAGAGATGAACAGGAGGTATGAATTTTTAAATAAAAAGCGATTTCACCAAAAAGTAAAAAATCGATAAATTTCAATAATCCATAACTCTTGAATGAACAATCCTAGAGCAAAAAAAATTATGCTATGATTCTTCGTTATAAGAACAACAAATAAGTAAAAACAAAATCGGTGACAAAATTTTTTTCACCTGGTACACTTGGTAAATTTTGCCCCATATATGTGACGCGATCCGAGAAAAGGGACCTAGTGTCCAAAAACTGATTTTCGAGATTATCATTATTTTAAGAAGAGTTGTAAATGATCTTTCGAAAGGTCCAGATAGAAATTGTTTATCTAATAAATTTAAATTCTTTATGCCGAGCGTTACTACACAAACGCCTATGCCTTCTAAAATTCTATTCCAAGAGCCCACATAAATTATTTGTAACTACATTATTATTGCAAGCAAAACCTCAAATGTTTTTTTCAGGTAGTGATGGCGAAACGACGGGCCCCAGTACAGCGGAGAACTCGGTAAGTCATGCTCCACCTTCACAGGACCCTGAGCCGAAACAGGTAGTCGGAGGCAGAGCGAGCATTCCGGACGAATTGGAGCCGCATCAGCTGGCGCGGCTGCAAGATCTCAAAGAATCCAATGCCTAGAGAATTTGACGCTAAACGGACCACACGTAAAAATAACAAAGAATTTGAATGTCGGCTTTAAATAGTACCTACGGGAGAGTCTTCAAGAGATTCAAGGGTTTTGGTCAGCCTCAAGATGTGGACTTCTCGTTTTATCCATAACATAGTTCTTTTGAAATACATGTATACTGCAAACTGGGGTTAACAAATATTATTCTCCTGGAAAAAATGGAATACACTGGTTTTTAAAACTTGATGTAACACAACATTTTTGGTAGCTTATTGAATCGATAGTAACGATTTAGCAAATCCAAAGTTTCCCAGTGTTGTGATTGTATCTTTAAAATAGATTTCTTTCTCAAAAAATAAAAACAACAAATGCTATTTTAATTTAAAAACTTTTCTGAAGACTTTCCCCATATAAAATACGCATTGCGTGAACGATTGGTTGTTTGGGTCGCGCGAATATTTGTACCTACCTAATTTGTTATTTATGAGAAATTTCACGTTAGTAAATTTGTGTTTGTTCATTTTATGTATTTTATAAAATGAAACGTCTAAACTGTTTGCCGGTCTAAAAAATTGAAAAGGGGTTTCATTTGATAAAAACGTTATTTATTTATTATCGCAGAGTTGCGAGTTGTTATTTCTCCAAATACGGACATAGTTAAAGAGAACGTTTTAGTTTAGTTAGTAGGAGTAATTTTTACGTAAAGTTTTTATATTTCATTAAAAAAACATTTTAAATTTTTTCAGAATCAATACCATATTTAACTTATAAAACACATGATTTCCTATACATTTAAGTAAACAATTAAAATATTAATCAGAAGTCAATTAAACAACCCGCACAACAATCCTTAGTTTATATGTTTTTATGAGTTTTACCCATCGCCGGACTGGCTTTTAAAAAGAGCGCGGGCCACGTGACCTCAAAGGCGACCAAATAATATTAATATTATAAAATAATATTAAAATTAATATTTTGTCGCCTTTGAGGTCGGATGGCCCGCGCTCTTTTTAAAAGCCAGTCCGGCACTGGGTAAAACTTAAGTTAATTATAAAAACATCACAAATCGGTGATTTTTTTAGCAGGAAACGAAAGTTGAATTTTTATGCCAAATCTCAGAATTTACACATAGTTAAAATAGTTCCTACATGGAAAAAAGTAAACAGTAACCATTCATCACAGAACACTAACCATTGATGCGCAGAACAGCGTCAGGAACTGTAGTGATCAATATTCTGCAATGAATTAATTATTATTATAAATTTAAATTAGGTGGATTACTGTTCTACGCATCAATGGTTACTGCGTTGTTTTCTCCGTGTACTTTTGAGCAGTTAAAAATAAAATAGTAAAATATTATATATTCTTAAAGGGAATTTAATTTTCAAAATTAACGAATTTTAAGCGCGAATATCTCATAAACTTTACGAGATAGCGGAACAATGAATGGAATCAATCTTGTAGAAAATTTTGTCTGCTATTATTTTGTAAAAAATTGTCTTATCGCTAGGACCAGTTTCCAAATTATAAGCATACGTAAAATGTGTGCGTACAGGTATTATTGGAGTTAAAATTATTAAATGCCACATGGATCTTTATTTGAACGCGTGCATGACTGCGCCACTTAATTTGAAATGAATTCATGATCTTATTTGATACAAAAATTAACAAAATGCATGAGAAATCACGGCGTGAGGTAAACTGCGAAAAATCTGAGCTCAGGGATGCTGTGCGGGTAGTAAACTCAATGTTAGATATCGAAAAATCGATGACCATTATAAAAATCATTTAATTAAAGAAAATTCATTCATTTTAAGATAATATGGTTTATCAGTTAGGAAAAATGTTTTCTTAGAGAGGGTTAGTGTTCCTTGCTGATGAGATTTTAATGAAGACGATGATTTTCCTGAGAACGCTTTTAAATACTAAGCTATTTTTTGTAGTATCATGGTTTTGCATGGTTTGGTCATTTATGTGTAAATATATTGTATATATTGAAATAATATAAAGTATTATAAAATACACTAATACAATGCATAATCCATATCTTTGTTTTTGGCCGATAATTGTTAATATTTAAAATTTGTAAATTAATGTAAATAGCTTAAATGACATGCACAAACTTGCTGAAGTAACAACGATATCAATAGTCATCAAACATGATCTGGATTTTAATTTAAGTTAGTTTACCTAAACCATATTTTTATGCTAAAGGAAAATTTTCGTCACATTATGCTCTTAAAAAATTACTAGACTACATGCTAGCTCTTAATGTTATCTACGCTTATTATTGATATTTGTTCATATATACCTACAGTGTGTTTCCGTTGCCAATGGAAAAAAATGTTAGTATGCATTTTACGAAAAAATTATTCCCCCATAACTCATGCTTGTTTAAAAAATGAGATTTCCATAAAAACAATTTGAATCAAAATTATAGGGTGCTTACAGATTAAGAAAACATAAAAATACTTCAAGAGAGAAGTACTTACCTTGATATTATTTTATAGAAAATTTTTATAAGGAAAATCAAATAAATGTTATACTAAAGATTTTATTTCGTATTTAGACTTTAATTTTATTACATTTTTCTATAAAATATTAATCAAAGGTTATTTTATAAACAAAATAACTTACCTACTACTGCTCTAATGGATTTAACAATTAAACATATTAATCAAAGGTACTTCCCTTTTAAAACATTTTAATGTGTTCTTAACTTTTGAGCACCCTGTACATTATTTTTATTCTTTAATCTAATTTTTTAAATAAGCAGAAGTTTTAATGAAGAATGCTTTTTTTGGTAAAACACTTAAGTTTTTACTATTGCCAACCCCATCCGGGGACACTGTGTTTTTTTTATTTGGGCCTAGCGTTTAAAGAAATAATTATGACTGATTCATTAAATAAACAAAGATATGTATCATCTGTACAACTTCCTTTTGGTTTATTTAAACAATTTAGATGTTTCGAAAATTTACTTGAGACGATATAATTAAAAAGGGGATTATATTAAGTATAAATATTTATTAAGCGCACTGTTAGACCATTTGTGTGATAGATTTTAAGGAGAGATCTAGAAAAAGACGGCATTAATAAATATCCTTTGCTGACTCTTTCTTCTAATTTAATTTGTTTATCTGTTGATTCGTTGAGTTTTTGTTAATGTTTACAGCAATAAGTAGGTACGTACTTTATGGTACCGTTGTATTTGTAAATAGTCTGTATCAGTATCAGTATGATTTTAATTTAATGTTATGTACCAGGGAACAAGTATCTATTTTGAGATTTTGATTACAAAACTTTAGTTTATTATAACTTAAAATGCTTATTATATCATTTTAATCGTTTTCTCAGAAGTACTTGGATGTTTAGAGGTAGATATAACATTTGTACCCCCATTTCTGTCGAATAAAATTGTGTATTTTTCGCAAATATTTTTAGTTTGCGTTCTAGTCCTGATTGCTCCATAATAAAAAATATAGAATCACCACTTTAATCTAAATTTAAAGAAATCATAAAATGTGTATATAATATTTTTTGTTATGGACAAGGCAGTTGTTGTACAAAACACAGGCTGTTTTATGCGATTGTATTGAATTTCCCCCCGTCTTCTTTCAGCGGTGCCTTCTTATTAATAACCTCAATCTCACCTGTAGATAAGTACTATAATTTCTTAATGTAAATTATAAGACCTGGTCTCCAAACAAATACTGAAAATAACTTAATTAATCCGTTCTATGTAACATCAAATATATAAAGTAAATGATTTATGTAGCAATGAAGATGTTTTATTTATATCTGTCCAAATACATATTACAGATAAAAATGCTTAAACATATTTTTCATTTATTTCCAGCAGCTGGCAATTACTATAGTAGCCTATAGCCACAGAACTCATTATGCTATTTAAAAGTACCACCCCTCTATTTTTTTTATCTAATTGGTTTGTTACTCATAAATTTCAACTAATATTTTCTTAAAGGGGAAAAAGGATGAAAAAAAATCAAAAAGAGAAAAGTAGTCTTTCAGATGCGTAACAAGTTTTAAGAGGAAAAAATACGTTATTCTATTTTTAAAATGTCTGTAAAATAAAACCTGATGAAGCAAATTTGAAGTCGTATTCGGATTAAACCCTTTAAAAAATATTTTTTTTTAAATTATAGTTTTTGTTTACATTTTTTACTTGTGGAAAAAAATAATAAACTTGCTAGTAATTTGTAATTTATTTAACATTCGACGCAGTTTTTCATGAACAAATTACTTGTCAACCCGTTTATTAATTTTTCAAAAAAAAATTGAACACTCAAAAGGTAAGTATTTTTTAATTTCCTTAAAATAAAGAAAGTAATTTTAAAAACAATTAACCCTTTTCTTCGACACTTAAATGGGAAATAATTCAAATATTTGCCGCCCTTTCTTAAAATCTCAAAAACAAAATGACTAACAATACACACCAATTGACGACCTCGAAGGAAAAGTGCAAAATTTCTTTTTGTAAAAATATTGTTTTTCAATTTTATTAAATAATATAATAGTAAAGTTACTAGTCATTTAACTAGAAACTTTGAAATATTTGAGTTAGTAAGCATTTTACGAAAAAATGTTTAAAATAAAAATTAAATGATACTTTCCTCCTTATAGGGGGAACAGGGGGTAACTTTAAAATTTCCAATGGAACACCCTATTTTTTATTGCAGATTCGGATCATTCGACTAAAAATAGGTAGATTTTGTCTAAAACATTTTTTCATTTTTGTAATAGATGGCGCTGTAATGAAAAAAAATAAATGTTGTTTGATTTTTCTTCTTATATGATTCTCGGCCATTTCAAGCGGATGGACGGGACAAATCACAAAACTGTTTTTATAAAAAAAATTGTAGGTAATTTATTATATATTATTTTTGCATCAAAATTGTGAAATATATTCTTCTATTATTAGGCTATACATTAAATAAAAAAAATCGCAAGAAATATTTTATAAAATTAGAGATAATTTCAATAATTGACAGGGGATGGACGGGACAAGATAAATCTTTTTTTTGTCCCGTCCACACCTTTCAATTATTAAAATTATATCTACTTTTATAAAATATTTCTTTCGTTTTTTTTTATTTAATGTATAACCTAATAAAAGAAGAATATTTTTGACAATTTTGATACCAAAATATTATATAATAAATAATCTACAATTTTTTTTATAAAAACAGTTTTGTAATTCGTGCGTTTCGCGCGCTTGAAATGGCCGTTCTGCAATAATTTTTCTATAAAAATAACACTTTTTTGGTAATAATTATCTTATTAAATTAAATCTGATTTTTTTAAGTACCCACGATTTTTTAACTAATATTAAAGTTTCCTTTGGTTTAAGTTTTATACGTTATTTCATTCGGTGATAATTATATTATATATATTATATATCCATTGCACACCATGGTCACTTTTTACCTGCCAGCATTAAAGCATTTAATTTAAAGGATTATTGTATTATTTTTAATAAAAATACTTCATTTAAGGTAAAAAAACATTATTTTGTCAATTAATTAATATAATCCTAATTGAGGTATAAAAAATGGTATTTAGTTATAAAAAATAATTATTATTGAGGTATAAAGAAACTATTTAATTATAATATAATTATACTTACTTGAGCATTATTTAATCAATTTAGTTCGAAGATTAATTTGCAAACAAAAAGACCTCCTTTCGTTAAGCAGTTATTCATAATGGATTTTTTAACAGTGGAAGAAAAAATAGAAATGATTTTGATTTATGGAGAAGCAGGCAGGAATCTTGATGATGCTGTTAATACCTACGCTCAGCGTTTTCCGGAAAAAAATCGATCACGTACTTCATTTCACCGTACATTCAACCGAAAAAAAGAGTTCGTCGAGCAACAGTCACAGGTGGAAATAATGAACAACGGCAACGGCCGCTAATCCTCATGCAAGCCCACGAGAATTATCTAGAGATTTGGGAATAAACCAGAGCAGTGTTAGCAGAATATTAAAACGAAACAAAATTGATTTTTTTTTATTACAGCTCTATCTATTACAAATATGAAAAAATGTTTTAGACAAAATTTACCTATTTTAAAAATATTATTTTTAGTCGAATGATCCGAATCTGCAATAAAAAATAGGGTGTTTTGGAAATTTTAAAGTCAGGTACCCCTGTTCCCCCTATACTGCCCTACTATGGAGGAAGGCAGTAACTGCAAAAAAAATCTTAATGCGTTTTCTTGTGCTATGATAAAGCTATGGACATTTTGTATCTTAATTCAACTAAGAAATGCAGTAAACTATCTTATAAGTTAAATAAATCAATTAAATATCTACTGCTTTTTATTAAAATTTAGTTTATGCCAATTTTCTACTGATTTATTGTTTAGCAGGTACTGCCTTTCTCCATAGTTGGGCAGTATAAGAGTTTTTTTATATCTATTAATTTATAAGATTGTTACCACGTAGCTGTTTCATTGTAACAAAACTTGTTGGGTGTTTTTTAGAGCTCTCTAGGAAATTCTGGGTTGAGTTTTTACCGGTTTCCCAAATAAACAGTGGAAATTCGAATGAATAAATGAATTGCATACAGTCCATGTAAATACAGTGTGACTCACCCCTGTAAAATCTTTATTTATATTTTTTTACCGGATTTGTTTTAAAGTGTAGATCTTGATAACCGTATTTTTGGAACAAAAACGCATATTTATACAAAATACTATGCCCTATGACAGTTTTTAAGAGTAAATTTTTAAGAATTCATATTAGCGATTTTTTTAAACAAAATCTAAGCAAGCCACTGGATTCACCACCCCTCAAAACGACCCTTTACGAAATTTTATTGAAAAATTTTAAGTAGAAAAATGCACAATAATAACTACAAAACTTTATTCTGTTAGCAATAGTAACATCTTACTATTAGTTTAATTTTATTTCAATGTTTTTTCATGAATAACTTGACAAAATAAATTTTTTTAGTTATTATTGTGCATTTTTCTACTTACAATTTTTCAATAAAATTTAGTAAAGGGTCGTTTTGAGGGGTAATCCAGTGCCGTTCTTAGATTTTATTTAAAAAAATCGCTAATATGAATTCTTACAAATTTACTCTTAAAAACTGACATAGTAGGCCTTGTATTTTGTAAAAATATGGCGTTTTTTACTCTGAAAAACAGACTAATTTTTCGAAAAACCCTTTAAGATTTAAAAAAAATGGCTTAAAAAGCTTGTTTTCAGCTGGCTTTGTTGTTCAACAGATTAAATTTAAAAATTTGTATTGTAGAATATCGCTGGGCGCACCTTACAAAAATACAGTTTATCAGGATCTACACTTTAAAACAAATCCGGTTAAAATCGCACAATAAATAAATTCGCAAACAAATTGGTCAGACTATATATAAATGTAAATATATGATAGATATAAATACACATTTAAGTAATGATTTACAGTTTAATTCAGTAAAAATCATAAAACAAATTTATTTGATGTATTAATACTTACTATAGTATGAGCCAAACTTTGGATGTAGTGTCTGTCTGGGAATCTGAATTCGATTAATGTCTCTAAAAGATAATCCAGTCTCCAGCAACCGAAAATAATCGTTTAAAAGGGTTTAACACCTCATTACTCATTTGAAAACAAATGCCGTTGAATAATCGTCGTCATGGATACGTCGTAACCGTTCATGTATGCACTTCGAACATTTTACACTAGGGAATCTTACTTACGTGCGTAAACTCAATGATGTCGGACGGCGACAGCAACCAAAGTTCGCAATCGAATTCGTCTGGAAGTTCGTCGAACCAGCCCTACTTCAACCTGGACTCGAAGGAGTCCTTAGACTTAAGTCTTACGTTAAATAGAAGCGGAACAGTGAGAAGAGTGAGCAATACCTCCAAAAGAGATGACGAGAATAAAGATAATGAGGAAGAAATGGAAAATGTGAATACGAAGCTGGAAAGGATGAGCCCGGATGCTGTTGTGCCGGAGAAGGTGCGGAGGTCCATGGATAGCTCGTACCGGCAAAGTTTGGAGTCCATACACGAGTATAGGGCGAAAACTTCATTTTCTTCAGCCAGTACAGGTCCTACTAGAGGTAGTATAGACTCTACTTCATCTGAAGTTACTGATATTGCGCAAGACAAAGATCCAGATAAAACCAGTCAAACTGCTTCTTACATGAGCTGGATAGAAAGTGAATATTTCGGATCATCTTCAATACATAGTGAAGATTACCACGAATACGACAGTAAAGTAGGCGAATGGAATAATTTTTGGCTTAATTACACTAGTGCGCGGTCAAACTTTAATAATAATCCATACTTCAACTTATCCACGGAAACAAAAAAAGTCTGTGATTTATCTGAAGCAAAAAGTACATGTAACACTCAAAGGGAATTTATGGATAAAAACCCTTCTAATTCTGTAATGTTAACTGTTGATGAACTTAATGAAAGTGTTAAATGTTCACAGAGGATAACGGAAATTTTACAGAATGCTTTAAGAAGAAATGATCAAGATTTAGAGGATTCCATTAACTCTTATTATTCCCAATCTTTTACCAGACACGTAAGTTAGATTTTTGGCTTTATAATTTATAATAAAAATTTTATTACTTCTTAAAAATATATTTTTTTAAATAATTTGTATTTATATTTGTTATATACAGTGTGGCCCACTTAAGATGGAAACACCCCCGTAACTTTTTTATTTGTAACCCGATTTTATTGAACAAAGGCTCAAAAGATAGAGAATAAAAAACTCTATTAGAGCTGTTAAAGTTGTTTTCAAAGTCACCCGACACATGCCTACTATAATTTTTTTTCTGTGTCAAAATTTAAAAAAACATTTAGGGTAATTTTTACGAAAAAAATAAGTACGCCACTGAATTTGGCATGCTTAAAAATGGGTAAATACCAAATTTCATTAAAAACAATCGATTTATAATTATTTTACAACGGTTTATTTATTGATTTTTTAAATGTTTATAACGACAATAGAAACACATATAAAAGGTTTAGGAAAAAAATAGGTACGCCACCGAGTTTGGCAGGCTTTAAAATGGGCATATACCAAATTTCATCAAAAATAAACAATTAATAACTATTTTGGGCAAGTTTATTTTTTTACGTTATAATCATTAATAATTAATTATTGCTAGAAAACAAAACCTAGATAGCTAATAGCTATTAGCTATGCTTACAACTTCAAACAAAACCTAGATAGCTATGCTTACAACTTCAAACAAACGTCAAACCAAAAACAGGCGATTTAACAGAAAATAGTAGCGTCCTTTTTGTATATTTTTTAACAGTGTATTTAAAAGTTCTTATCTACAATCATTATGGCCCATCAGTTAAATTTAGAGCACAAAATTGAAATTGTCCGATTAGTAGGAGATAACGTTCGTTCAGCGAGAGAAACAGCTAGAGAATTTAATAATAGGCATCCGGAAAGGCAGCCTATAAGCAGTAGTACTGTTTTTAAATAAATAAACTATTTAATGAAACTGGTATGGTTTTAAATGATAATCCACGTTAACAGCAAAGACAAAATGATCAAATAATTCTGAAGTATGGTTTTAAAGAAGTTAAGAAATAATAATCCACGTCAACGGCAAAGACCAAATGATCAAATAATTCTGAATTATTTTAATAACAATCCGAAAGTAAGTTTAAGAAAGGCTAGCTTAGATTTAAATATTTCAAAAGAATCCTTAAGAAGATGTTTAAAAATTAATAAAGTAAAACCTTACAAGCCTAAATTTTTACACACTCAACTGCCAGGGGATAATGAGAGTTCTGTCTATGGGCACAGGGCGAATATCTCAATAACCCAAAATTTTTTAAACATGTATTATTTACTGATGAAGCAACCTTTACTACTAATGGATTAGTCTCATCTCAAAATATTAGACATTGGTCTGTAAATAATCCAGATTGGATTATTAATTGTAGAAGTCAGTACTCACAAAAAGTAAACGTGTGGTGCGGTATTCTAAAAGATAGGGTCATAGGACCTTTCTTTTTAAATGGAAATCTAAATGGTCAAAGTTTTTTGGAATTTCTTCAGGAAGAAGTTACAAATGCTTTGGACAATTTACCCCTTAATTATCATAGAAACCTTTATATTCAATTAGACGGCTGTCCGATTCATAATTCAGTTAATGTGAGGCAATGGTTAAATTTAAATTTTGAAAATAAATGGATAGGTCGCAATAGCCCATTCATTAATCGAATGGCCTTCTAGGTCTCCCGATCTCACTCCTTTAGATTTTTTTTATGGGGTACCATAAAAAACAAAGTTTATAAATTACGTCCTCAGAACATTGCAGATCTTAAAGCCGGCATACGCAACGCCTGTGAGGAAATAACTCCACAGCAATTGAGAAGAGTCCAAAAGAATATTTAACGTAGATTTAATAAGTGTATTGAATTAAATGGTGGACTAGTGGAAGCTTCCCGGGTTTAGTTTTCTTTTTTATGTTCTATTGTTCGTTATAAAATATTGTTTAAAAAAATTAATAAACTTAGGTAACAACCTCATAAACTGAGTTTTATTGGACGATTGTTTTAAGTTACTAGCATAGCTATCTTAGTTTTTGCTTTGTAGCAATTTATGACTAATATTAATTATTTATTTTTGATGAAATTTGGTATATACTACCGTTAACACCATAAAGTCCCACTTTGAAATTTGATTTTTAAACATGAATTTATCTCCCGGCTGTTGGGTGTGTACAAATTTTGGTTTTACTTTACTAATTTTTAAACATCTCCTTAAGAATTTCTTTAAAATATTTAAATCTAAGCTCGCTTTTCTTAAACTTATTATTATCTGAAGATTGTCATTAAAATAATTCAGAATTATTTGATCATTTTGTCTTTGCTGTTGACGTGGATTATCATTTAAAACCATACCAGTTTCATTAAATAGCTTATTGATTTTAAAAAAGTACTACTGCTTATAGGCTGCCTTTCAGATTGCCTATTATTAAATTCACTGCTTCTCTCGCTGAACGATCGTTATCTCCTACTAAACGGACAATAATTGTCCGTTTAGTATACTATAGGAGATAACGAAATTATTTCAACTTTGTGCTCTAAAAACTGATGGGCCATATTGATTGTAGATAAGAACTTTTAAATAAACTGTTAAAAAATACACAAAAAGGACGCTACTATTTTCTGTCAAATCGCCTGTTTTTGGTTTGACGTTTGTTTGAAGTTGTAAGCATAGCTATCTTAGTTTTTGTTTTGTAGCAATAATTAATTATTAATTAATCATTAATGATTATAACGTAAAAAAATAAACTTGCCCAAAATAGTTATTAATTGTTTATTTTTGATGAAATTTGGTATATACCCATTTTAAAGCCTGCCAAACTCGGTGGCGTACCTATTTTTTTCCTAAACCTTTTATATGTGTTTCTATTGTCGTTATAAATATTTAAAAAATCAATAAATAAACCGTTGTAAAATAATTATCAATCGATTGTTTTTAATGAAATTTGGTATTTACCCATTTTTAAGCATGCCAAATTCAGTGGCGTACTTATTTTTTTCGTAAAAATTACCCTAAATGTTTTTTTTTTAATTTTGACACAGAAAAAAAATTATAGTAGGCATGTGTCGGGTGACTTTGAAAACAACTTTAACAGCTCTAATAGAGTTTTTTATTCTCTATCTTTTAAGCTATTGTTCAATAAAATCGGGTTACAAATAAAAAAGTTACGGAGGTGTTTCCATCTTAAGTGGGCCACACTGTATATATATATTATTATTAAATACACAAAATTATGTTATTTTAGATTTTATAATATTATATATCATAGATATATTAATATCTTAATCAGTATTTATATGTACAGGGTTTTTATAATCAACCATTTATGGTTGATTATAAAAACCCTGTACATATAAATACTGATTAAGATATTAATATATATAATATATTATATATATATTAATATCTTAATCGCTGGTTTGTATAATCAACCATAAATGGTTGATTATAAAAACCCTGTACATATAAATACTGATTAAGATATTAATATATATATATGATATATAATATTATTTCTATGATATATAATATTATAAAATCTAAAATAACATAATTTTGTGTATTTAATAGTACCTACCCCAGATAACAACCGTAAGGGGCATCAAAACGCACATCGCCTTTACTTCGTGCGGAATCATGCGTGACGGTAAAAACGCTGAGATATGATATTCATTTTATGATTAATGGGAATACACGCACGTGATTGGTATATGAGGGCACGAAATTATTGCAAACTTTTCACTTTTGCTGAATATTTATCGCAAAATTGTAGGTGTAATACTAAATCTACACTACATCTTGCAAAAATTGTTGATTTTACTTCATATTAAACTAAAATTTTCAAAAAATTGACTTACACAATATGGTTAATTTTTGAAAAGACTGGATTTGTAAAGACTAAATTTGTAGACTAAATAAATATAAAAAATATACATAATTTTATTTGGAATTCCAAAATGTTGATCTTAAGATCACGTTTATAAATTATTTTAATATTAATTTATTTTTGAATTTGTAAAAAGATACCTAATTTTAGTTAAAACAAGATATCTTTCTATAAATGTAGACAATTCTCACAAAAACTAAAATAAATAACTTACAAGAAAAATATCTTTTGGATTATTAACAGCTGAGTTTTGGACTTGCCTTGTCTTAATTTGATTGATTTTCTTACGTTTTCATTAATAATTATCTATAATGTCTTCAGGTAATAACTAAAGACAATTAAAGATAATTACTAATCGAAACGTAAGAAAAACAATCAAATTAAGGCAATGCAAGTCCAAAATTCACCTATTAATCATGCCCAGAAAAATGTCTTCAACCATCACATGTGCTTGCTATATGAACCTTAATTGATGACGCAAATGGTGCATATATGTGAGATACGTGCGGATTAAGAATCACGTTGTGACTGCAATATGCGTAAATAATATTGTTATCTGGGTACTATTTATTATTCCCGCAACTGCACAGCATTACCTGTGTTTGTTGGATCCGAATTTTTACGGCGGCTGGTAGATCGTGGATGACAAGGTCGATGGTTAAGGCCATTCCCGGAATTTTGTCGCCGGGTCGGGCCATACACCCAATTTAGGCTAATGGAGTGCGGGACAAGGAGGGAAAACATGTTGGTTTTTGGAGGACATTGAACTGACCTAACACTAGGTACAATCCGTAATCCTCCTCAACCAGGGAACCTATCCTTGTTGGTGTACTTTCTGTTCGTCTCTGTCCCAGTCGGACTTCTATCCCTAGGCTTTTTTTAGTTTTTTGTCTGCCGCTAATGAAAAAGACGTACTTCAACTATCTCTATACATGCATATAAGGTTGTATATCTAGGCCGCTTGAAAAAAAAACTTAATTATTTCAATAAGTGCGACATTACCACAAAATAGCGTGTATGCACATTGTTATAAAGACTTGAACTCCAAATACACACTTATTGCACGTGCACTTTTTAACACGCTTTATTTTCGCAAGTTCGAACTCGCTTATTCAAACGTTAAATTCAATCTCTGCTACAAAAATTAAAGAATTTAACTATTCTCTTAAACAGAAAATCGTATTTTTTTTTTATAAAATTTATATACAATTTATTATAAAGTATTTATTATACTTATTAAAGTATTTATTATACTTAATACCAGTTCGGTCTAGACACTCGAAGTGGATAGACGCGTTAAGTAGTTAAAGATTCCTCTCCTAGAAGCGTATACGAGAGAAACGTAATAAAGTTCCAAAAACGAACCTAAGTAATCGGAAGTATCGGTAATCGGTAATAAATAAATAAATAAAATAAATTAAAAAAATAAATTAATAAATAAATAAACAATCAAGTGCGGAAAGTGTGACAAGTGCAAAAAAAGTGCAACAAGTGTGAAAAGTGCGGGTGATCCCCTGTTAAAGCCGTAAAAGAGTGCAACTGAATAAGTAATTAAGGCCAACCGGTCCACCTGGTCAGCAGGGATAGTCACAACCAAAGCCTGTCAACAACCTGCAGGGAGGTCCAGAAACATCGGACAGACCGTGAAAGACCTAGCATCAGGATTATAGCCTAATATCCAAGCTAAGTAATTTTCTAGCTGCATGTCTTATTAACAAATCCATTTTATTCCAAAAAATCTAAAGTAAAACGTATTATATACCGAAAAGTAATTTCAAGCTCCCCAGCTGGCACCAGAAAATAAACATTCCTATTGAGACAGACAGCACACAAATCATTACATAAACAAAACAGAAAAGGCAGATAAGACATTAGCTCCATCCCCCAAATAAACACTCGACTAAAACCACATGTAAACGCCAAACCATAAATAATAAATAAACACTAACCAAACAAACATGGAAATAGTAAACACGATTGATCATTCGGAAATTGCTTAGTGGCCAGCTTGGCTCATCAACTAGATAATAGCCTGACTGGGTCAACAAGTACATACGCATTAAGACAAAGACTAAATAACCACTTACGAACACACATTGAGACATACAGCCCATACAGGATGCGATCCTTGACCAACCCCACCGCTACGCGCATATTAACGACTGGGAACGCAAAACAGAGGCGTACCTAAAGGACCACGCACAAAACGGCTTCTGGCTGGGTTTGGAAACAATAGCAGCATCGGACATATTTAACGTTGCAATCGAAATACATCACGAACAGGGGCGTACTGACAAGATATCCTTCAGACATAACAATAGCAACCGGTCAATCGCAATTTGTTACAGACTAGGCAGGACAGGAACTTACAACCACTACGATAGTATAATACACATCTGGCCAACATGGACACAAGCCTCGGTGCCCTGTCTAACAGAGGTAGGAAAAAAATCCAACATAAGAGCCTGCGGCAACGGGGAATACACGCAAACACAATCGACCGGAAACGGGGCGACAAGTTTAGACAGTAGTACACAACAACACAAGATAAAAATAGGGACACTAAACGTAAGGGGCTGTAGGCAAGTAGAAAAGAGAGAATAATTGATGAGACACTATCCCAACTAAACCTAGACATAATAGCAAATGACAACCGGACGCGCAAAAACAAACACGTACTTAAGTGGAGGACAAAACAATTCGACTCGACGGGGAGTAGCGATACTCCTAAGACGATCTAAGGCCCTCCAGAAACTGACGAACCGGAAGTAAACCAACAAAGATAGGAGTAAGCAAATAACTAACATACCCACCCCCCATTCACGAATACCAATTGAATGGGGTTACTACTAAGGCCTAGGTTGAGGAGGATTCCGGATTGTACCTACTTAGTTTTGGGTCAGTTCAATGTCCTCCAAAAACCCTTCCTAAACTGGACGTATGGCCCGACCCGGCTGACAAAAATCCCGGGAGCGGCCTTAACCTTTGACACTGTCATCCACGAACTCCTAGGGTGGATCTACCAACCAGCGTAAAAACTTCGGATCCAACAAACACAGGTAATGCTGTGATTTGGCGGGATACGCAGGAGAACGGAAAGGGGGTAAAATAACCCCGGGAGATCAGTGGAAGATAATATATCTGGGGCCTGCCATACGTTCCCATACTCATACTCATACTCAGTATTTATTATACTTATTATAGTATACTTCCCAAATAAGGACGAAAATATGGTATTTTTTTAAACCGCCACGCATGCGCCTCAATGCGTGTATTTTTCTTCCCCTACTTTAACCTCACGAAAGGGAACCATCAGAGACAAGGGAACCAGTCTCTGGGAACCAGTCTCAATCTGAAATGTATATACGAGGTGTGTTCAGAAAATAACGGGAATTTATAAATTTCGCGGGTTCGGAGAGTCCGGTTGTCATCAAATTTTCTTTATTATGTTGATATACATGCCCCTAAAGTATGATAAAACTTAAGCTGTTTTCATTGTTAACTTTGTCTGTGGCAGCCGCTAAGGTTAGACTAGGTTTTATAAGCTCGGCCATTTTTGTTCGTTAAAAGAAATGGATCAAAGAATTTGTATCAAATTATGCGTAAAACATGAAGTTAAAGTGTGTGAAAAGGCGTATGGTGAGTATGATATGAGAAAAACAAGAGTTTACTAGTGGTATAAGCGTTTCCAAAAGGCCGTGAAGACGTTGAAGATGACGAACGCCCCGAACGCCCAAGCACATCAACATCCGATAAAAACGTGAAAAAAGTGGAAGAAATGGTAATGAACGATCTCCAAATCACAATCAGAGAAGTCGCTGATGATGTTGGCATATCGATTGGCTCATGCCATGAAATTTTTTTAAATGTTTTAGGTATGAAATGCATGGCTTTTGCACCAAGCTATCTAGATAATGCATCTGCTCACACTTCATTGCTTGTTCGTACATTTTTGGCCAAAAACAATACTATAATGATGCCCCAGCCTCCATATTCGCCAGACATGGCTCCGTGTGACTTTTTCCTATTCCCAAAAATTAAGAGAACCTTAAATGGCCGTCGTTTTGCAAGAATATATGACATTAAAAGCGCATCGCTGAAAGAACTAAACGCTATATCCCAAAGATTGAGTTTGAGAAGTGTTTCGAGGATTGGAAGAAGCGCTGGCACAAGTGCAAAATATCTAATGGGGACTATTTTAAAGGCGACAACATTAATGTAGACAAATAAATAAAAAAAAATTCAAAAAACGTCCCGTTATTTTCTGAACACACCTCGTATTGACCATAGAGCCTAGCCTAGGCTGCCTAGGCCCCATGGTTTTGACGCTAAAAAAATAGCTTCAACATGAAATGGGGACTTTACAATGCTTCTTCTTCTTTAGATCTTGGAACTTTACAATTAATTTATTATTCAATTGTATTTAAAACAAAAAATAACCCCATCGTGAATATTTTAATTTAAATTTAATATTTTTTTCTGAGAGCTGATATGCTCAAAAATGCAATTAAACTTTATTATTAAAGTGAAAAATGCTATATTTCTAGACTAGTTTTATTTCAAATTTAATTCAAGCATTTTTTACAAAAAACACAGTATGTACCTAAGAACTATTTGTATTTTTATGAAACAAAAGTAAAAAAAATAAATCGTCAAAATTCTAAAAATTAATTATAAATTAATATAGCCAGGAAAAATAGATAAGTTTATTGTAATACGATTAATCGTATTATATAATTAAGAATAAGAATAATAAGAGCTCAAATCTTCAGTGAGTCAAGATATTAAAGTTTAGATATCTAGATATTTTAAAAGAATCTGCGGGGGTCACCCTTAAACAAAATTATTTGGTGGAATGACCCATACTTTAAATGTTAATTACTATTATTACCATTTTTATCAAATTTATTAAAACAAAATTAACCGAAAAAATATTTTACAAATGGGGTACGCCGTGGGTCACCAAGTAGGTCACAAATTCGCTACCTGACCAGTTAACAAAATTCACCCATATCTTTATGCCGAGGAAGAACTTAAAATCAAATTAACTTTTTTTAGAATTCCTCAATCAGGGACGATGACGTAACTAATGTAATATCTCGTGAACGTTCTTTTTCGTACGCCATGGACATTCAGGAGGTCCAAAAACAACAACAAAAGATGCTGTTAAAAAACGCTCCTCAATCTTCCAGCACCAGTTGCATAAACGCCTTGCTTAATACCGGAGTGGGTGACATTTTGAAGAGGGTGATGCCAAAAAAACGAGACTCGATGACTCCGTCCGAAGAAAAATCCATATCCAGAATTTTTCCAGACTGGGCCAGTGCCAAATAAATATTTTATATAGAAAACTGTTTTTACTTGTACGTTTTTTAATTATGTTTAGAAAATAAAAGTTGTCTTGTTGCCGATTTAAAAACTTTTCTATAGGAGTTGAAAATTGGTGTTTTGCTCTTTTTAAATATACAGTTTCCGAACTCCATTCGAATAATTTACAGGGTGATTCTACATCGCAAAATATGAAAAATGTTTTTAAGAACATGGGTTCAAAAATTCTTTATAATTATAAGGGAGTTACGCCCTTTGAATATGACACTTAACATTAACATTTTATTTTATCTCAGGTGTACTTAAACTTCAGGGGGGACTCAAGGGGGGTTATGGAACATCGCCCCCCATATTATTTTTGGGTGTATTATTGCAATACCCATGAGTATTTTGCAAAACCACGGTCTAATTTTTTTTATTTAATTTAACACAAAAAAGGTCCTCTTGTTTAAAAGGTCTAAAACCAAACGTTTTAAAGAAAAATCGCTTTAAAAATTTTTGGTTCTGCTTTATAAAATTGAGCAGTGGCGTAGCTAGCCTCGAGGGGGCCCCGTATCAAAAATCTGGTAGGGGCCCTTATACCGGAAAAGGTGCTTACAAAAAAATTTTTAGGGTATCATTTTTTTGCATTTACCAATTTTTATAAACCCCGTGATATTTATTAAATCTAAATGAGTTTGACCTACACTTTTATTGTGTTTTGTTCTTTCATAATTAAGTAGATATTACAGCTCAGGTTCCAGATTTTTAACAGCAATTAATTATTTTTACAATGTTTTAAAAGTCAAAAACCCATCCTCCGTGACTGTTACTCTTTCTAGGTTAACCTATATGTTTTCAAATATCTGAGGTATTAAAAGCATACTAAAAATATCAGTTCACTAAGTAAATTAAACACATCCAAAGCAATCAAATCAAATATAAAATATTATTAAAAATTAAAAGAAATAATTTTTATAACCATTTATGTAGGTGTGATTGATTGATTCTATCCTCCGTGAATCTGCTTTTGCTTTAAATTTTATGCAACGGATGGCGCTTTAATTATTTTAAATAAGCAAAAACCTCTGTTTACGACATTATAGATGCATGTGTTTCCTGAAGGTCATTTAGAATTTATATGCAGATGAGAGTGTTGCTGTTTTATAATTCAAAAGTTGAAGTTCATTAATTTGATATTTAAAAACCTATCCACCGTGAAGTGTTATATCTCAGTAAGTAGATTTTTTTATAAATATTTTATGTATGTACAATTGTATTTTAAAAAAATATTAAGCTGTCAAAATATACAATTACCTACTTAATTTAAATATACAAAGGTTTAAAAAAAACATACGAAATCCTAACCTCCATGACGCTATCTTCCGTGAAGCTCTAATATTCAAAATGTATGATTTCTTAAAATTCTTGCATTAGTGTAGAATAGGGTGATGCAAAAAAAAAAATTTTTTGAATTCTATGCGAGACCACTCGGGTTTTCAAAGAGTATCCAGAAAATAAAAATCTGTAAAAATTTGAGAGAAATCAATTAAAATTTAGAGGTCGCTCAACGCAATTGTTTAATTTAGAAAAATCACGCATCTCAAATGCATTGCTATAAACAATTAGGCATATTTCATACAAATTTAAATGAAAATGGTTGAATTTTTTTTTGGTGGACTCTTAATGATTATTCTAATAAATAATGTTGTTCCGATTTCAAAAAATTGTTCATAATATTTAAAAAATATATATTAATTAGCAAATATAGCTTAGTTAACAAATAATTCATTAAAAATTTTTTTTGTTTCAAAATCTGTAATAACATTGTTAATAGGTCTACAAGCAATTATTCATTCACAAAAACACTCGCCCCCATCGTTAAATATGAGAAAAAAAATAATATTTTAATTAACTACACTTCGCGTCAAATTTAACGCACCACTAAAAGTTTGTCACATTTTCAAAGTTGATTTTCTCCCGAACCGTCAAACCGAATTTGGTAATTTTTGTTTTAAAATTGATGTTTATTCTTTGGTCATATATGATGCCTTTATTAAAAAATTCTTTTAAATTTAAGTTTTGAGTATATACATATATAACCGTCAAACCGAATTTAGTGATTTTTATAATAAATTGTAGGTTTATTCTTTGGTAATAATGCGTTTTAAAAATAATTTTTTAAATGAACATTTTGAGTGTATATAGGGTGCTAGTGTAATAATTAGTTTTTTTCCGGAAATTTGAAACGCCCTGTTGGTTGTACCAGCTATAACAGCATATGTCTCATAATCAAACTATAGCCCCATGTTCTCCATTTTGTATTTTTATTTACCGGGTTATCTTTATTTTTAAATGAAATATACATTTAAAGATTAAAGATTAAGGTACCATGAATAGTGTACGATATATCGAGGACATTTTATCTGAGCATGTTGTCCCTTTCGCCCGTTAATAATTTTTTACTGATGCAGGATAATGCTATATAGTGCAAGAGTACTTACATGAGGTGGGTGTTAAAACTTTAGACTGGCCTGTAAATAGTCCGGATCTCAACACCATCGAGCATTTGTGGGATAATATGGGTAGACGACTAAGAAATCATGATCCCTTGCCTGCCTCCCTTGATGACGTAGCAAATATGCTACGAGAAATTTGAAATGTCATTGATCAAGACGAGATTAGACATCTGGTTTCGAGTGTGAGCCGTCGATGTGAAGCCATAATTAGAAGTAGAGGCAGAAATACGCGATATTGATATTCTTTAATGTTGGTTTTATTGATTTTGTTAATATTTTTGTTGTTATTGTTACAATCGTTCTTTTTACATTTTTGTATTAAACTGGAGTTCTTTAATCTTTAACTGTATATTTCATTTAAAAATAAAGATAACGCGGTGAATCAAAAAACAAAATGTTAAGAGAAGATGTGGCTATAGTTTGATTATAAGATACATATGCTGTTATAGCTGGTACAATCCATAGGGCGTTTTAAATTTCCGGGAAAAAACTTATTATCACTCTTGCACCCTGTATATACTCAAAATGTTAATTTAAAAAAATATTTTAATAAACGCATTATTACCGAAGAATAAACCTACAATTTATTATAAAAATCACTAAATTCGGTTTGACTGTTCACGAGAAAATCAACTTTGAAAATGTGACAAACTTTTAGTGGTGCGTTAAATTTGACGCGAAGTGTAGTTAATTAAAATATTATTTTTTTTCTCATATTTAACGATGGGGGCGAGTGTTTTTGTGAATGAATAATTGCTTGTAGACCTATTAACAATGTTTTTACAGATTTTGAAACAAAAAAAAAATTGAATGAATTATTTGTTAACTAAGCTATATTTGCTAATTAATATATATTTTTTAAATATTATGAAAATTTTTTTGAAATCGGGACAACATTATTTATTAAAATAATCATTAAGAGTCCACCAAAAAAAAATTCAACCATTTTCATTTAAATTTGTATGAAATATGCCTAATTGTTTATAGCAATGCATTTGAGATGCGTGATTTTTCTAAATTAAACAATTGCGTTGAGCGACCTCTAAATTTTAATTGATTTCTCTCAAATTTTTACAGATTTTTATTTTCTGGATACTCTTTGAAAACCCGAGTGGTCTCGCATAGAATTCAAAAAAATTTTTTTTTTGCATCACCCTAGTGTAGAACCACTTATGTTATGTTATTACTAGACCTGGTGTCTTCCCAAAAAACCCATTCTAGACTAACAGTGAAACAACCAAAAATAAAAAATAATCATTTTCACTTGGGGGACATTTCAATATATTCACCCATGTATACATAGCTTTTTATGTACAGGGTGTCCAAAATTGGTTGTCCGTATAGGCTCTCAGTAAATATAAATGCTAGAAAAAATTCGACCACGCATCCCCGTCGCCCTTTTTAAAGATACATCGGATGATGTCTTTGAATTTTCTCGATTCGCATTTGTTTGGGAGATATACTTATTTTTTCAATTTTTGCCAATTTTGACAAATGCTTGTAGCTTCGCTAATATTTGAGTTACGAATACAGGTTTAAAATATTATGTAGACACTTTTTTTCACAGAATTCCCAAGCAACAATTTAAGTATTTGTTACGTATATGGGACTATTGAAGAAACTTCAAAGTGTTTTGCGACAGTCGCCGGTCTCTTTATATTACTCTTTCATTACTACGTTACGACTAAAGTGGGGAACAATTATTGAGTTCCAAAAAGGTAGCAAATATGTCACTAGCTACCAACCCTGCTACTATTTGGGACGTAGCTGCTACGTTACTAGAACGTTCCAATATCGTTGCTAGAGCGTTATAATTACTTTTATTATTTGTTTTTACTTCTATATTAACTTTCTTTGTCAAACTTATATTAGATTATACTATCCCTCCTTTTTTAAATGGAACCACTACGGACTTGGCTTTTCAATGTCGTCGTTTATTAAATATGTACTGGTAGTTTATAACTTCCAGAATAACAATATAATGTTTAATTAGACAGGTAGATTTATAAACCCTTTAAATTTTACTGTTGAACTTATGAATTTAGTTTTTGTAAAATAAATGCGCTTTATCAATATTTAAGTATAAACAAATTATTTATTTAGTAATGTTTATAAATAAAAAAATCTTAATATTTATTATTATTTTTTTTATTTAATTATTAATACCGTCTATTACCAACAATATTTCTATTTATTAAAAAGTAAAAAACTATTTACAAACAATTAAAATAATTTATTATTTACATTACCACGTGGTACTGTACAGTAAAAAATGGCCGATAAGAAGCATTTTCCTTTGAAGTAGTTTTCGCTACTTTAAAGTTTTTTGCCACTTTACGGTTGTTTTGGTTAGTACCATAAACGTTCCAAATACTAAAATAATAACTTTTAAGTTATTAACTTTGTAGTTTTTAACTCATGTTCCAGTTTCGAGATTTTAACTTGCAAAGGGACTACAAAGTAAAAATAATTATAATGTAATCTTTAGGTAGCAACCGAAAGTAACTG